TAAGGCATGTCCTGATGTCAGGGGTGCAAGAGGTAGAAAAGTAAGGCCTCTTGACACCTTGGCTGGGAATGTGTATTGCATCATTGCTTCTGCATTCTAATACTCGAGTTGCAAAGCTAGCCAGATTCAAGAAGAGGCAAACGTGCCACCTCCTGGGGGGTGGGGGAGCAAATAATTTCTAGCCATGGTGAGTTTGTTGCGGGTTTTAGTCCAGCACAGCCTCTTTCTTGTGAGAGGACCTGCAGATTCATATGCAGAAGGCATGGATTCAGAGTGGGTGAGGAACTGAACCAGGAAGGCCACACCCACTCCTCCAGAGTCTGGTGACCTGTATGCCTGCCCTGCAATTGGTGACCTATTTGATTCTTCCAGCCAAAACTGGAACCTTTCTCACCTCTGGTGCAATAGATTGCCATTTGGATCAAACCAACCCATTTTACAGATAGAGAAATTGAGTCTCAAAATTTGGAGATATTTGCTGATAGTAAACACATGGCTGAGCTGGGATTCAGGTTCAGTCTATATAGGTTCCAAAGATTCCTCACTCAGAGCAAAATCCCAGAGCAGTGCCCATGAGATTGTCACTCCCTGAAGTCACCTGCTGCCCATGGAACACACTTAGCCATTCCTGTTTGTGACCACCAGCCAAGCCCCATCTTTGGAGGGCACTGGGTGGAAGCTGAGAGCCTCATTTTGGCTCCAGGGATGGATCCCCCAGGATGAGTAGATGGAGTTTGTGTAAGGACATGTTGGGGAGACAGGTCAGCCTGGCCATGACTGACCTACATTAGCTGTTCCACTCCTACCATGGCATGGCTATGGGATACCATGAGCCCTCCCAGGGCCTCAATGGCTCACTGTCTTGCTGTTCCCTGCCCCCGCTCTGTGTCTCTCCAGAGGTTTGAGGTTTAGGCCCATTCTGCTCTCTTCTCTGATTCCTGTGTGTGCTGGCAGGGCAGGAGCAAGAATTGGTGTAGACTGTGAAATGGAAGTACCAAGGCCACATGCCCAGGGGAGGGATTAGTCCTGGACCCGTTTGAGAGCAGGGACTGCAGGATACTATGTGACAAGGCCGAGTCCAGCTGCACACACTGGTGGAGCTGACCTAGACCCTGTCTCACTGTGGGCTCCCCAAATCCTGTCATCCTCCACTCGCTCTTTGCCCCTTCCAGGCCCCAGCTGAACTTTACTTCAGGTCTCTCATGCATCCTCTCAGACTGTCATTCCTTCATTTGATTCATAACTATGGAGGGTTTGATGTGCAAAGGGGAGGCAGCGTAAGCAAGGCAGACCCTGTCCTTGACCCCACGGAAGTCACAGTCTGATGGGACAGACAGAAAATAAACAAGACTCATGCAAGTGATAAATTAATTTTGGTGCGTGGTGGCAACATAACCCAGCTTGCCTTCCTGGCCCCCATGGCACCCCAGGAAGGCTTACCTGAGGAGGGGCCATTAAGGCAGACTGGGGAGATGATCCAGGTTTTGGAGCAGACCCAGTTTCCATCCCTCAGTAACTATGTGATCTAGAGCAAGTTACTTAACCTGTCTGAGCCTTGGTTCTGTGAGACTGCGATAATGTGACTTCATAGAGTTGTGATTATAAGAGATCAGTCAGTCAAGATCAGCAAGAGCCCACCCAACATAACTAACTGCTCATTTAAAAAGAAAACATGTGTTTTAAGAGGTCAGGTGGAGGAAGGGTGTTCCAGGCAGAGGTACCAGTACGTGCAAATGCTGGGAGAGGTAAAGGAACCGAGCCGTGGGGATCCAAGGAGAATGAGACTACACCTTGCATCAGGGAGTCCCAGGCTGGGGGAGTGTGATGGCCCCTCTGCAAAAACAGGAGGGACTGCCACCCAAATTTTGGAGTATCTTGAATACTGAGACGGATGATGCCACACACTGGCCAAGAGGGTGTAGAAAGGGCTTTGAAAAGTGTGACTTAGGGGTGGTCCCCCAGGCAGGAACTAGTTTCACTTCCCACAGGAAACCTTGAATCACTGGTCTGGGCAGAGGGCTGAAAGGAATGGGGTATGTACGTCCTGCACTCCCTCAGGAGCAGACTCTCTGTCTGCTTGTCTACTGTGGCATCCAAAAGCTACCCAAAACTTAGTGACCTACAAACAGCAACCATTGTATTATCATGCATGGCTCTATGGTGATCAGGCTCAGCCAGGCAGGCCTGCTGGTATTGCTGCATCTCCACAGTCACAAGCAGACTGTGCTGGTGGCATCACCTAATAGCTCAGCTCAGACACTGAGATGCCTTCTCCCTCTCACCTCGGGGCCTGCCACTCTCCATAGGTCTCCACATGACTTTCCAGCTGAATTTTTCATGTGGTGGCTCAGGGCTCTCAGAAGAGCAAGAGCAGAGGCTTCCAGGTGTCTGGGGAAGTCCCAAAAGTCTAAATTCATGATCGATTCTGAAGAACTGACATGTGGCCTTATTCAAATTCATTGGAGTTGTACTAGACGAAACTTCCATCACAGGCAAAGCAGCTGCTATCAGTAGTGGCCGGCCAGGAAGAATCTACACCTCTCCAGTCGTGGAGACACCAGAAAGAACAGTGCATTCCTAATTAACAGATAACGTCAGGCAGTTGTCACACTCTGTACATTCATGAGCCTCCTTCCTGAGCCTGAGGTCAATCACTGGGTAGCATCCAGCTTTCTGGGCAGTCAGCCAAGCCTGAGGCCACAGAGTTAAAGTCACAGAGGGTTAAACAGAGTCCAACTTTTCCCAGATGCCTTTGCTATGGGAGCCATTTTGCATCTCTGAATTAGTTCTCCTGCCCAGGCCTTCGAGGGCATAGCGAAGACTGGCACAGGGTCACCTCCCTGCATTTGACTGGTTACCGTGAGGCCCAGCCCAGCCTGGATCTGAAGGGCAGGATATGGGAAGGTGGCTCTTTGGGGGCCATCTCTGAGCACCCACTGCCATAGTCTAAGAATTGGTCTCAGTGTTAGATTCATGCTGAAACATTTGAAATTTTCCAGTGTTTAATGTAGTCCTTCTCCTCGAATTGCCGTGGCAGCTCATTTGTGCTTTGCAGCAATCTGGTAGATGGGCATTCCCTCTTGGATGTGAAGGCTGCTGGCCTTTCCACTGTTGATCCAGCCAGAACAATGTTTTCATTTTATTGCAGAAGCAAGTAGGAGGTAAAGGGATGAAGAGCCCTGGGAGTTGGGAAATGTGGGTGTCACCTTGCCCTGCCCTAAGCCCTGTGAACGTCCCCTGGATCCTCTCGCCTCTCAGTGCTTCATTCTCCAGACCTGTGCACCAGCGTGCAGCAGGCCCCACGGGGGGCCTTTGCTTCCCCTCCCCCATGGCCTCTCTGAGCTCTGGGCACTACAGGCCTGGGGGTGGTGCCATCAGCCCACCTAGAGCTCCCTCTGTAGGCATCAAGGTAACACCTGCCGACTCTGTCACTTTATAAAATTCCTGATTCTGAGGAGCTTGCATAAGGAGAAAGGGCAGTGCTCCCTGCGCTGCCTCTGTGTGGCCAGCCGGAGCACTGGCCCTGAGCCCTGCAGACCTGCTCCCCGTTGCAGCTCTGTGATTGGAAACAGTGCAGCTTTGAGCTTGGTTTTGTCATGTGCAAAACAGAGTATGAAATGGGGCAGCTGCTGTGGAAAACAGTCTGGCAGTTCCTCAAAAAGTTAAACATGGTGTTAACTTATGGCTCAGCAATCCCATGCCTAGGTGTACACCCAAGGAAGGTGAAGACACCTCCACATGCAAACCTGCACACAAATGTCCACAGCAGCATAGTCATAACAGCAAATAGGAGAAACAGCCCAAGTGCCCGTCGGTGAATGAATGGACAAACAAAACGTGGCACGGCCGTAAAATGAAGCATTAGCCAGCCATAGAAAGGAATAAAGTCCTGACCGTACTGCCTGGAAGAGCCCTGAAAGCATGCGAAGTGAAGGGAGCCAGACACAAGGTCACCTATGGTCTGATACCTTTCAGGTGAAGCGTCCGAATAGGCAAATCCACAGGGCCGAGAATAGAGCGTCACTGCCAGGGTCTGGGGAGGGGGTAGTGACTGCTGGTGGGTACCTGGGGCATGGAAATGTCCTCAAATCAGGTCACAACCTCATGAATGCACTAAAAGCCACTGCAATGTACACTTTCAAATGGTGAACTGACCCATAAGAATTATATCTCAGTTTTTTAACAGGGGTAATCAGTCCTCCTTCCCAGGAACAGGAAGATGGGGAGAGAGGCTGCAGGGAGGTGCCTGCACACAAGCTTAGCATGGCCCACAGATGAGTGTCTTACACACTCATCACGCTGACCAGGGCCCGGGAGAAGCTCGGAATCGGGAGAAATTTCAAGGGAGGGCTTTGGCCCTGGGCTGAGTACTCCTCTGGCATCCAAACCAGAGGCTCAAGGCCCTGAGAGGTAGCGTGACCAGGGCCCATTTCCCAAGGTCCTCCTGGTTTATACTTGCTGCCCCAGACTCATTAGCAACTGCACCCAGCTCACCCTCTAAGTGTGTGCTCCCCAAGAAGGCTTCTCCTTGGAGAGAGGCCCCGATCAGCACGGACAGAGACAGCTTCCCTAGACTATTGTCCATTCGTTTGTCCAGTCATTCATCCGTCCTCCTCTGGCTCTGTCCTATTCTACACAGTCATGGCAAGTAGAGACAGTGCAGGGGCCAGCTGGAGAGGTGTCCTGCTCTGAGGTCCTGGAAGAAGTTGCTACCAACGCAGGGTAGAGGGTTGGCGTCCTCCAGGGTGCGGACAGCATGCCAGCCAGGCCTCGGGGTGAGGAAGGGAACCAGCTACTTCAGGAGCCAGAGGAGCCCCAAGGTGGAAGCAGCTGGGGTTCTGCCCTCCAAGAGGGTATGGGGCGGCCACATGGCCTGCTGGGCCCTACTGAGGGGAAAGACAGACAAGGGCAAGGGGCTTCTGGTCTAAAAAGGGGACCCCTCAGAGAAGGGTCCTGGGCAGTGACCCTCCTGAACTCACAGGGCCCCCGCTCTCTTGCAGCGCCCCCAGGGCTGAAGCTGAGTGCAGATCAGCGGGCCCTGGTCTACAGCACGCTGGGGCTCTGCCTTGGCACCATCCTCTGCTGCCTCCTGCTGGCCGTGGTCTGCTGCCTCAAGAGGAGGGGAGACCAGTCCTCTTGCCAAGACACCCCAGGCCTACGTCAGACCCAGGCCACATCTTCCAAGGGTGAGCATGAAAGGGGTTTTCATCCTCCCACTGCGTGTGGGACAAGTTGCTAGCCACCCCTCTGCCCTGTTGCTGGCACTGCCCCTGCCTCTAAATGGAGCGTTTGGCCAGATCTCCTGGGAGGGTCTGAGGCAAATCCCTGCAGCCTTTTCGCTGTGCTGTTGAAACCCGGCTCCAAGACCAGGCAAGAAGAGACGGCATCCAGGAAGGTCAGGGTGGGTGAGGGCCATCAGGCTAGAGGGTTTCCCGGGATGCAGGGAAACCAGCAGCAGGAGGTCTCCCTGGGAGCTCGGGGAGCGGGCAGTGTCAGCAAGGCAGGAAGCCTGCCCCTGCACAGGCTCCCTCGGCAGAAGGGGCACTGCGGGTACAGGGCCTCGCCTTCTGTGGAAGGCGTTTCCTTCTCTCCACAATCCAGGGGGCTATCCCCTGAAGGCAGGTCAGAGGAGGAGGGGCTGGGGCCAAGGCCAATGCCCTGTTCTCTTCCCACACAGGTCACAGGATGGATGCCGGGCCACAGGAGCCGGTGGAGACCTGCAGCTTCTGCTTCCCCAAGTGCAGGGCACCCACCCAGGAGAGCGTGGGTGCCCCTGGGTCCCCCGGCCCCATGCATGCTGGGAGGTGTGGGCACCTGGGCCCTACCATGGCCAGAGGGCCCTGCGGGGGGTCCCCAGACAGCAGCCTGCAGGCTGTGTGCTCACCCACCCAAGAGGGGGGCCCGGCTGGGTAAAACTGGCGGGGGTAGGGGGTGAGAGGCAGAGGGGGTGCCGGGTGGGAGGGGAAGGGGTATGGATGGAGGTAGAGAGAGAGTAGGTGAGGGAGAGATGGGGAAAGAGAGAGGGAGGGGACAGGGAAGAGAGAGCTGGGGGAGAGAAGGGCTGGGGGGAGAGGTGCCAGGGTAGTGCACCTTCACTGCCCTATCCCAGGGCTCCACTGTAGGTCACCACCCTCTAAACACATCTGCAATAAAGTGTCTGTGTTTGCTGGGCCCAGTCTCCAAGAGCCTTCCGTAGAAATAAAACCTCCCAGGGCTGCCGGCTGCTTTGTGTCACTCATTTGGGTCTCGTCTTCCCCTGTGGTGATTCTGAGCAGCCCCACCTCTCAAGCTGCCTCCCTTGGCTCGAGCCCACCACGACCCAGTCGCAGCCCTCTGGTTTCCCAGGACCTGCACGTTGACTGTCCACCAGGCTCCGGCAAGGAGTGTGTGCCTCTGGCCGACACTAGAAGAACTAGGTTGGGCTCACATTTGTTTCCAAAACCATTCCCTACCTGCCTCCTCAGGAAGGACAGGAAGCACGCTATGCGTGTGGGGGCAGGAAGGGGCAGGCAGGCTGAGCTCAGGAGTCTCATTTGCACCCACCTTGGGCCATATCTAGCCATCAACTGCGCTATTAGTTGCTTAATGTTTTTCCTTCCCTGAATCTTTTCTTCTAGACCTGCTTCAATCTCATGCTAAATTTTATGAACTCTGACTGATAACATTAAGCAATTCACAGTTTTAGATGTTACCTATATTTTATATTTGTATTTTTATTAGCACTGAAGCCTGTATTTTAATAGCATTGAAATACTTTAAAATGCACAACTCTTCTTAAAAGCATTTTCTCAGTAAGATAAATACCTGATTATGTAAATTAAAATTATTCATCCCACCTGGCCAGCATGGCTCAGCGGCTGAGCATCGACCTAGAATCCAGGAGGTCTCGGTTCGTTTCCCAGTCGGGGCACATGCCCGGGTTTCGGGCTCGATCCCCAGCAGGGGGCGTGCAGGAGGCAGCCGATCAATGACTCTCATCATTGATGTTTTTCTCTCTCTGAAATTAATAAAAATATATTTTAAAAAAATAATAATAAAATGAAAGAATTCATCCTGTGCCACCCAAAATTACCTTGCCCACCACATGCACCAAAGGCTCACACAGCACACAGTGGAGGTTCAGACAGGAAGACGGTGCTGTGTGGGCTCACCCCGTGGCTGATGGGCTGTCCTCGCTCCCCAGGCGGCCACAGTCACGCACCACACGCCACACCAGGGAGTCAGACAGCAGCATCCTTCTGTCTCACAGTAACTGAGGTGAATACCTGAAATCAAGGTGCCGACAGGGCTGGCTCCCTCCGAGGAACCTGAGGGAAGGACCTGTTCCAGGCCTCCCCCCCTCACCTGTGTCTGCTCCCAGTGGGTCTGTGTCCGACGTATTTCTTTTTATAAGGACACCAGTCATATTAGATTATGCCCACCCTAATTACCTCATTTTAACCTGATCACCTCTGTAAAGACTGTCTCCAAATAAGGCCACATTCTGAGGTTCTGGAGTTAGGACTCCAACAAGTGGATTTGGGGGGACACAGTTCAGCCCATAGCATAGGCCCTCCCAGAGTCCACGTCTGCTTCATCTCTGTCTACATGCATAGGATTTTTCTGAGAACTTTACATATATTAACTTAATTTTTCTGTAAAATAATTCTATTACACAGAGGGACCACTATTAGTGTCCCCATTTATAGCTAAGGAAACTGAGGCTCAGAGTTTCAGTAGCTAACCCAAAGACACCCAGCACCAGGATTCACACCCGAGCAGCCTGGCCCACATTCGTCTCTTAGTAGCTAGCCTGTCGCAGGAAGGTTACAGTTACAGTTTGGTCCTGGCTGGTATGGCTCAGTGGATGGAGCGTTGGCCTGTGCACCGCAGGGTCCAAGGTCATGTACCTCAGTTGCAGGTTCGATCCCGGCCTGTTGGGGTGCATGCAGGAGGCAACCCATCGATGTCTCTCTCGCATCAATGTTTCTCTCATTGCCTGTCTTTCTCGTGCTCTCTAAAAAGCTATGGAGGGCGGAGGCCAGCGCAGGGCTATTGCTCAGCAGGCCGGCTTGGCTTCGGGCTCCGGGCCCCCCAGCCGGGGACTCTGCCTGTGCTCACGGGCGCGGCCGTGGTCCCGGCTGCCTGGCGTCTGGGCGATCCATGGGCAGCAGCAGAGCCGCGGCGACAGATCACAGCGAGGAGCAGCGGAGCGAGCTGGGGGCTCTGGAGCCCCTCCACCCCGACCCCTTTGCGGGCGGATGCCTCTCAGCTGCCCCTGCACAGCCGCAGTCCTGCTCACGTTCTCTCACCCGCAGTACAGCTGTGCGGCGGGGACGGTCAGGGGATGAGCGAAGAGGGGTTTGAGTCGTTCGCTGGCCTGCCCTACACTGACCCAGTCCTTCCAACAGCGCGTCTTCCAAAACCTAAACACTCTCCTGACGAGACCGTCGCCTTCCGTGGCGCTGCACTGACAGGTCCTGCTGAGCATTGCTGGGCAGAAGGCCTCCAGCTTCGCCATCACCGTGACATCTGAGGCTGGAGAAAATGACGGAACTGTCCAGACGACCCTCAAGTTTACATACAGTGAGAAGCCCCCAGGTGAGGCCCCTTATGAACCATTCTCACAGGAAATCTAGAAGATAATGGTGTCTCAAGCATTTTAGACACAAATTATTAGCATTATAGACAGAAGAAAACCTTGGTATGGTGATGATCTTCAGTGACAGCTGTGCACGAAAAATTAAATGAAATAGTGGATCAAATAAAAACCCAAAAAGAAGAAAAGAAACAAAAAGAAAAGGCAGCCGCAGAAGCCCCAAAGCAACCATTTCCGGCACTCCCGAACCGCGGCTCCGGGCCCCAGCAGGGGCGCTCCCAAGCCTCAGTTCCCAGTTGAGGGCTTCTTACGCTGGAAAGCCAGGTTTGATGCAGAACTCTTGGAAATTAAAAAGAAGCAGATGAAAGAACAAGCAGGAAAAACTAAATTCTGTGGGAAACGGCTCTGAAACACATCATAGCCTTGACCCATCGCTGTCCAGCTCGTGGAGGGGCCGGGGACAGTGCGGGAGGTGAGCGTCTGCCCCGGCCGGCCGGAGCGTGAGCAGGACCGGCGG